GGTTTGATTTTTTGCTGTTGTGCTGTTCTGCTTTTTGCATTGGCTCCGGTTGTTTGGTTTTTTTTTTCCAAGAGGGATTAAGCCAAATTAGTTTTTATCTCTTTCTGCAGTTTTCCACTGGGATTCAGTGAAGCACCAGCGCCTGAGAAGAGAAAAACGATAAACATCTAAAGGCAGCCACTCTGTTGCTGTTTTATCTGTGCCATTTGAAGTGATGACACCCTTCAACCAGATAAACAAAGCTCGAGGAGGGGCTCGTCGTTAGCTGGAGTGTGTTCGGCACCGGAGCCTCCCCGCCACATTACAGACAATGGCAGCGCACAATCATTCATTATAACTCAATTACAGTAATTAAAACTGGTGGGATGCAGAGGCAGAACAGACGAAGGGAGTAGTGCCAACAGAATTTACACTCCGTGTCATCAGCCAGCGATAACAACAGCTGATGGTGTCCCCGAGCCTCCTCCTGCCATCTGTTCCCAGCCCGGGGATGGTGTTCCCAGCCCGGCAACCCATTGGGTGCCGCGGCAGCGGGAGGCTGATGGATGGGAAGGGGTGGGAAAGGGCTCCCGGGGTGCCCCGCTCTGGGGGTGATGCCCTGGGCACCCCCGGGGGGAACTGCTCCCCGAGCCGGGCACAGAGCCCGGGATAACGGAGCGGGAAGGGGGAGCGGGAACGGTGGGCAAAGCACGTGGATGTGCCTGGGGCACAGCCCGGGGCACAGCCCGGTGTGGCCTGCAGCACTGCTGGGCTGGGCACGGCATGGCATGGCGTGGCACAGTGTGGCACACACAGCATGGCACAGCACGGCACAGAAAGGCATGGAACAAATCAGGCACACATGGCACGACATGGCATGACATGGCACAGAGTGGCACGGAACAGCACAGACTGGCACATGTGGCACAGCACACAGGGCATGGCACAACATGGCACAGAACAGCACAGACTGGCACACATGGTACAGCACACAGGGTATGGGGCAACATGGCACAACATGGCATGGCACAGAATGGCACGGAACAGCACGGACTGGCACACATGGCACAGCACACAGGGCATGGCACAACATGGGAGAGCATGACATGGCACGGAATGGCACAGAACAGCACGGAATGGCTTGGCACAACATGGCACAGCATGGCATGACCCAGCACAGAGCACACAGCGTGGCACAGCACACATGGCACAGCACACATGGCACAGTTCTGCCTGTTTCCCAGCACTGCCCTTCAGGGAGCAGAGACTGTGGGAGAAGCAGCTTTTCCAGGCAGGCTCCTTGGGGATGGCATCCCCGAGGGTCACCACGGGGCAGGGGACACACGTGCCCCCCCCCAGTGGCACAGGAGCCCTGTGGTGTCCCCAGCACAGCCCCACCTCGTTCCCCAGCCCAGGCCCTGCACTGGGAGCTGGGAATTCCCATTTCCCCAAGGATCATGGACCGGCTGCACCCCGAGAGCCGGGAGGGGGAGGGGGGCAGTGCCCAGCTCGGGGGTGACGGGGTGGTGACCTGCACCCAGTGACCTGCACCCAGCCACTGCACCCTCCCCGTGGGACCTTGGGCCTCAGCTCAGGCTCCAGGATGAGCATCACCGTGGGAAAGCAGCCGGGAGCAACGGCAGGAGCACCGGGAAGGGTGGCAGGGACAGGGGGACCCCAAAAGGGTGAGGGCTGCAGGGGACACCCAGAAAGATAAAGGTTCCAGGGGGACCCCAAAAGGGTCACGGCTCAGTTTTGATGCTCAGCATTTTCTGGGATCAAATCCCTGCCCACCTCCACAGGATCCCTTCCTTGCAGGAATACGATGCTCACAGAAGGGAATCACTGATAAAAAGTGGGCAATGCCCCCCAAAAGGTGCCGTTTGCCAGGATGCCAGGCCATGGCCAACCTGCACATCCTTGGCATCCTGGGTGGATCCCGCAGTAACTCCCACTGGATTTTCCAGCTGCTGCGTAAAGTCTCTGCCATCACACCCCAGTGTGTCACAGCACCATCCAAGCCTGACTAAAAGCACATTAAAAAAGGTCCTTATGAATATATAATTTAAAAAAAAAAAAATTAGTGTGGGGGCTCGGGATGCTTTAAAAGTCCAGCTGCAGAAACGGGAACGGGAGAGAGCACGGCCGGCTCCAGCACCTCCTCCCTCAGCCCTTGGGAAGGCTGGAGCCCAACCAAATGAGCTGCAAAGGGCAACAGTTTGCTGGGAACTGTTGAAAGGCGAAGCTGGAGCCGCTCAGGTGCCGAGGGGGCGGCGCGGGGGGGCCGGGCCGGGTCCCTTCCGCTCCCCTGCGCCGGGAATCCAAATCTTCCAACAAAGGATTGCCTGCGATTTTGATCTTTTAATGGTCCCCTGTGTAAGCCCCTCGTTCCATCCAGCTTAAAATCAGATTGAAATGCACTCCTAACCCTCTCCCGCTGCACATTATCGGCAAGCCAAGCGGGCAGAGTGCTGCTCCTGCTTTTTATTTCTCCCTCGCAGCAGGCCCTGTCATGTCCAATACATCACCGGAGCCCCCGGAGGACCCTACATATGTCCTAGTTCAAGGGAAGTGCTTTGTCTCTGTCAGGGGTGCCCGGGCTGGAGCACAGGAATGCCAGGGCACGCAGCCCGTGGATTGGGAGCTGCCCGACCCAGTCCCTTGGGCACCCCCCGGGTGCTGGGTGCCCCATTCCCAGCCCTTTCCCTGCATCCCCAAGTCCTGGCAGGAGCAGAAACAAAGCTGCTGGTGATGCCTTTGGGATGGAAAAGGGGAGGATGGGGTTTGGGATGTCTGAGGGGTGCCCAAGGTGGAGCCCATCCCTTGGCACCTGGTGAGGGGGAAGATGCCAAGGGCTGGGGATCCAGGGGGCTTCTCCCATCAATCCTGAGCTCGGCTCTTCCTCCATTGGACCTCCATCATCACCCCATGGATGAGGAAGGCCCTGTGCCCCCCAGCCCCCCAGCCCTTCTCGTGCTTTCATCAACCCCTCAGTGCAGGATTTCAGGGATCAGAGGGTTTAGAGACACTTTGCTTTCGGTTGAGCTTCAGTACATTTACTTTTTATTCTTTTTTTTTTTTTTTCTCTTTTTCGCCCTTTTTTACAAAAATCAGTGGTAGTTATTAACAGCTGTACAGATTCTGCTACATACTTTGGTGTAAAGTTGAGAGCCTGACTCCGGAACGCTCGGCCAGCTCCGGTACATGCAGTTCCTGGATTTTATTCTCGTTATTTTGGGGAGGAAAACCAAGCACCGACCTGCAAACCAGTGACTTGGGGGGACACAAAGCTGGGGGTGACCCCACTGCTGGAGGGTTTTGCCCTGGGAGGAGGTCAGAGCCCCCCAAACCTTTCCAACACATCCCATCTGTGCAGATGGGGATGCTCCGAAGGCCACGGAGAGGGGATGCTGTGCCCAGGTTTGGGGGCACAGGGGAATGGACAGAGCTGCCCCCACAGATCCCAACCAGCCCCAGGATCAACCTGAGCCCCAAAACACACCTGGGGCATCACTGAACCCCTCCTGTTGGCACCAGGAACACCTTCAGAGTCATTAATCTGAGCCAAACCACCCTAAAATCACTCGCCCTAAATGCAGCTTTAAAGAACTTGATTTTTCCTTTGCTGGATCATCAGTGCCCAAAACTGATCCCACACACCACACACACCCTGTGCCTGGGTCCTTCCCTTATTTTTACTTTGAAAAGGGCTAAAAATCTCAAAAACCTCTTATTTTGATGGGAAAAATAATGATTTCCCATGAGATCTCTCCTCCTTCCAACCCCAGCTCAACTGTCCACACCCGGAGCAGCTGCAGGGCTGGGAGAGAGGCTCCTCAGAGGGATGCAATGCCAGGTACCAACTCTCCATCCTCCTCTCCCCCCTCTCCAAACCATTCTCCCCATAACCCTAATCATTATTAATTTTGGACCAGATTCAAATCGCAAAAAATAATCCATAAAAATGTCGTATAAAAATCCTCTTCCATATGCTACAATACAGGGTGAGCACTTCTGCTACACAAATACTTTTATTTGCCCGTTAGGTCTTTTTTTTTTTTTTTTTTTTTTCTTTTTTGTCCTTTTTTTTTTTTCTGTCCTTTTTTTAACCCTTTAGTACAAAAGGCTGACACAGGCCTGTGGGGGGAGGGGATTGCTCCAAAAGACCAGAAGACACAAGACCATAAAGCCCACAGGACCACAACCAGCCCCGGCCCCCCCACCACACACAAACCCTACTTGTTAGTAAACTTTTTGCTTCTTTAAAAAAAACAACCAAAAACACAAAAAACCAAAACCAAAAAAAAAAAAAAAAAGAAACACAAAAAAAAAAAATCTGTATTTTTTTCTTTTTCTTTTTTTTTTTTTTTCTTTAAAGGTTATCAATTCTAATTCTTTACTTTCATTTGAATACAAAACACATAAGTTGCTTTATCTTTCGTGGCTCCCTGAGCTGAATTTTCTAAGCTTTCTTTGAAATCACTCCTCATTGCTTCTGTCCGAAGACCAAGAAGGGCTTTGCGCAGACGGTCCCGCAGCGTGGGCTTCCCCTTTGCTTCAAACATCCAAGCACGGAAAAAATAAGGATAAATCCATATATATAAAAAAAAAAAAACAACAAAAAAAAAAACAACCCAAAAAACCCCCCAAACCCAAACCAGGTGACTTGTGTTGATGTCCTGTCAGCAGCTGAGGCTCTCCGAGCGCTCCCGGGATTCCAGCGGCGTCCCACCGTCACTAACACACCCAACGACGCACGGGGACCACAGGAGGGACAACTCTGCACCACTGGACAGCTCCTCTCAGCCTGCACGGCACAGTCACATCCCCACCGACACTTCCAGAGGGGGCAGGGAGGGAAGGAGGGAAAAAAAAAAAAACCAAACAAAAAAAAAAAAAAAAAAAAAAAAAAAAAAAACCCAACCAAAAAAAAAAAACCACCAAAAAAACCCATAATAAAATTGCCACCACCAAAACCATCAGTGGAATACAATTACAGCAGACGAAAAATACACAACTAGTGTACCGGGAGGGACCCCCCTTCAACGCTATTTACTAGTCCGGTATTTACACTTTTCACAAGTCTTATGCAAGGCTGCACAAAACAAAACAAAACAAAAAAAAAGTCACGATAAAAAAAAAAGGAGTCCTTTATAGTGCCACCAAAGCGCAGACGGAAAGAACCGGAAAACCAAAAAAAAAAAAAAAAAAAAAATTTAAAAAAAAAATCAAAAGAAACCCCACGACCCTAAAACCCAAAGAAACATCCGTTTAAGGGCTCCAACGTGTGCCAGAGTCGCAGATCTCCAAATAAATCCGTGTGTGGCGGACGCCGGGCAGAGCCCCCTCGGAGCGGGCACGGTCCCTGGGCCACCCCGTGGCATCCCCCGCTGCTTCCCGAGTCCTGCGGGGCCGGGAGCTGCCAGCCCTCCCAGAAACTCCACGCTCAGTAGATGACCTCGTAGACTGTGGCCTTCTTGTCACCAGAGCCCGTGACGATGTACTTGTCATCCGCTGAAATGTCACAACTTAAGACGGACGAGGATTCCTTGGACTGGGAAAAGGGGGAAGGAGGAGGGGAGAGCATCCGTCAGTTTGGTTTCCCTGGCTCGCCAAGCGCCATTCCACGCTGGTGGCATCACCACATCCCACAGGCTGAGCACCCACCCGGCCACCCCAAGAGGATCCTCCCTCTCTCCAGGGCTGGCAGCCCCAGGCATCACACCAAGAGGGGGTCTGGGTGTAGCCCTCATTCCTTGCCCTTCCCAAGAGGCTCCTACCTGGAAGATGCTCGCTCCGTAGGGCGTCCTCCAGGCGTTGAGCAGGTTGTCTTTCCCAGTGCTCACAAACCATTTCCCTGTTCCCAGGAAACACAGTGTCAGCAGTTGCACAAACACTGCCATTGCCACCCCTACAGACAGATCCCGGGGCCAACCTCTCCCTGCCCCACAGGCTTCTGGCTGTTTGACCTTAGAAAGTGGCCATTCTGGAGAAATGGGAAAATCTGGAGATTCCCCAGAGAGGCTCGTCCAGCCCCTCTCCATTGGGACACATCCCAGCAGTCACACGGGGCAGGTGCTGCTTCCCTGCAACCTCCCACGATGCCACGTGGCCACTGGTGACCACGGCTGGGGTGGTTTTATGGAGATACCCCCCAAATGCATCATCCATGGGATGGATCCTACTGGAAACATCCTTGTTCAGCCCCCCCCCACCGTTCCACGCACCATCCCTTCCTCGTGGGCATCCCTGTTTCCCATCCCTGGAAGTGTTCCAGGCCAGGCTGGACAGGGCTTGGAGTAACCTGGTCTGGTGGAAGGTGTCCCTGCCCATGGCAGGGGGTGGGAGTGGATGTTCATTAAGGTCCCTCCCAAGCCCAACCATTCCATGATCCCCACCCACCCCCAAAGGGACGGAGCTCCGGGCGGGAGCCGCTTACCGCAGTAGGCGAACTTGAGGGAGAGGACACAGCTCTCGTGGAGGTGCAGCTGGTACTTGTCGGGCTTGGTGTGGTGCAGCACCTCCACATTGCTGCTCTCCATGCCCACTGCCAGCCACTCGCCCGTCGGGCAGTACCCCAGGGAGAAGATCTGCAGCGGGAAGTGGGACACGGGGATGCTCAGGGGGGGCTGTGCCCACCAGCTCTGCCCACAGCCCCCCAGGGAGGGCTGGAACTAGAGGGGCTTCAAGGTCCCTTCCAATCCAGCCACTCTGGGATCTATGGCAAGGGTGGAGGTTGCTGGGCAGCCCCAGACTGGGGCAGCAGGTTTGGAGAGGCACATCCATGTGTCTGGAGCAGCCACATGAGCTGTGAATGCCGGGATGGCTCCAGAACCCTGGATGCTGCTGCACTTGCCAATGGAATCGAGATTCCAGCTTTGCCCCTCTGGATCAGGGCTCTGGGAGGGTCTGCTGGAGGAGGCAGGATCCTGATCCCTGCAGCCACCCCACCCACAGGGCACCCACAGAAACCTGTTACATCCACAGCTATCCCATGGGAAGTGCTGCCTTCCTAATGGTAGCCTGATTGTGCAGGGATGGAGAAATGAGGACAGAGAAGCTGAAACCAGATCCAGGGACCCCCACGGCTCCTACTGTCTCCAACACTCCTGGGTTCCACCAAACACAGCAGGAACAGCCACGCTCAGGGCCAACAGGGCCATTTTCCCAGCAGGAAAAGCCCCCTCCCACAGCCCCACATGATCCAGTTGCCAAACAAGCTGCCCTGCTTTCCATGGAGGGATAAACCCCTCCGTGGGGTCTCTGCATGGCAGGGCCAGGCCGTCCCCAGCCCGTTACCTGGGAGGTGAAGTCGTGCTGCTGGAGCTGCCGCCCTTCCCGCAGGTCCCAGGAACGCACCGTGTTGTCCAGGCCCCCCGTCCACAACTTCGTACCATCATGGGAGATGTCTATGCAGCTGGCACCATCTGTGTGGCCTTGGAATTGCCTTTGAACCAGAAAAAAATACGGAAATCTGCACAGGGAACGCTAGGAAAAGCATGGAGGTCGGTTCAAGGTGCTCAGATGTCATTTGTGAGGCTTATCCACAGCAAACACGCCTGGAAATCCATCCAGGAGCATCCTTTGCTGAGGAGCTGCAGCATGAAGTGTACTGGGCTTGCTTAAAGATGAGCACTACAAGATGGATGGTGCAGCACCAAGAGAGCATTCCTGCCATCATTCCATATCAACTGTGGCTGCCCCATCCCTGGAAGTGCCCCAGGCCAGGTTGGACGGGGCTTGGAGCAACCTGGGCTAGTGGAAGGTGTCCCTGCCCACGGCAGGGGAGTGGACCGAGATGAGCTTTAAGATGAGCTTCCAACCCAAACCATTCCAGGATCTCCGAGCTCCTCCCAGCAGAGCACACCCAGGAAGGCCCCGAGCCCGAGCAGACGCCGCCCACCTGACGAGGGTCTGGTTGTGCAGGTCCCACACGGCGATGTTGCCGTCGCTGCAGCAGGAGAAGCAGACTTTGGCGTCGGGGCTGATGGCCAGGGCGTAGCAGGCGGGGGCCGAGGAGGTGAGCTCGGCCTTGATGCGGGGCGTGGGCGACGCCAGGTCCCAGATGGTCAGCGTGCTGGCCTCGCCCCCCACGATCAGCGTGCGGCCGTCCGGGAGCAGCTTGCAGGAGCGGATGTAGTTATCCCTGTTCTGGGGGGGAAAGGTGTGGTCACGGGGGGGACGGGGAGCAGGTGTGGATGGGGGGAGAGGGGAAAAGGAAAGAGATGTTAATGGGGAAGAGGAGAGGTACGTTAAAGGGGGGGAGGAGGAAAAGGGAGGGCGACAAGAAAAGAGGAAAAAGAGATGGTGATAGGGAGAAGAGGAAAGGGAGGATGACAGGGGAAGAGGAAAAGAGACGTTAAAGGGGGAAAGAGGAAAAGAGATGATAAAGGGGGAAGAGGAAAGCAGATGTTAAAGGGGGAAGAGGAAAAGAGACATTAAGGGGGGCAAAGATGTGATGGGAAGAAGAAAAAGATTGTAATGGGGGTACAAATGGTAACAGGGAAGAGGAAAGGGATGGTAACAGGGGGAGAAGAGGAAAAATAGATGGCGATGTTGGGAAGAGATGTTGATGTCAAGGAGAAGAAGATGATTAATGGCATTAGAGGTGGGGGAGGAGGGGACACACACGCCTGGGAGCAGCAGGACCCCCCCAGGTCTCACCGGGACGCTGCAGCCCCCCCAGCCCCTTACCAGGCAGTCGAGCTGGGAGATGGGGCTCTTGCTGCCGGGCTGGCTGATGTCCCAGATCTTGACGCAGCCCTTGCCGCCGGTGTAGACGTGCCGGGTGGGGTTGCTGATGGTGACGGCGCACACCACCTCGCCGTGGCTCAGCGTGTTGATCTGCCGCGCGTGCCGGGGGATGCCGGGCCCCGCCAGCGCGTCGTGCGGGAACGGCACCGGCTGCATCTGCCCGTCGGCGCTCACGTGGAACGAGTAGGCTCTGCCACGGGAGGGCACGGGGGGGTCAGCCCAGAGGGGGAGGTTTCACAGGGGGCAGCGGGTGGCTTTGTGGTCCGGTTGCCACGCTGTGCCCCGACCCGGGGCTTGGCTGAACCCAGCCCTGGGTGAAGGATTCACCTCCCTCTCACCCGTGCTGATCCCCCCCAAATCCATAAAAAAACAAAAGGGGCTTACGGTTTCCCCCCGGGGATGGAGGCCAGGCTGGAGGGCAGGCCGGGGGCTCGCATGGGTGGGTGTGGGTCAAAACCAACCTGCCGAGAGACACACGGACACGGGTGAGGCCGAACACGAGCTGGGCACACCAAACACCTTCCCACCCATGAGCCCACGGGACACTGAGCAGCTCCCTCTTTTCCCTTGCTGCTCAAGAGCTAATTGTTATTATTCCCCTGGCAGAAGGGGGAAAACTGAGGAATTAGCCAAAGGTTTTGGGGCTGCGAGGAGCAGGGTGGGACATGCTCCCCCTCCCCGTGCTGTCCCCAAACCCCCAGGGACAGGAGCAGCCAAGTCGTGCTCAGCACTCTGGCTGCAGAAACCCCCATCTCTGCATTAATGGCAATGTTTTACTTCTTGGTTTGACTTGTTTTGCCTTAAAACATGGGATCAAGAATTTAGTGAGAGTAATGGGAAGGGGGCTGAGTAACTGGAAGGAGGAACCCCAATGTAGGAGCACATGCACATTCCCCCACGGGGAGGCATCTCCACCCCCAGCCCCCTTTAACAGCAGCTGATATAAAAGACGGCTTGTTTTGAGGAGAAGGAGCCTCAATTTCCCAGCTGAGCTAGGGGAGTCCCCCCCAAACCCTCCCCAGCCCTCCCCACCGTTGAGAAAAGGAGCTAAAAGTGCTACGTACAGCTCCAAAGCTCACCATTGGCGACCGGCCGTAGGCGGCGGCGGCGGCGGCGGCCGCGCTCATCTGCGGGGGGAGGTTGTGCAGCCCCGCGTAGGCGCCGGGGCTGGTGAGGGACCCGTTCATCTCGTGGTGCCCCATCATGGCGAAGGGGGCGGCGTAGGAGCCCGCGATGGAGATGGGCGTGCGCAGGGCCGAGGCTGCGGGAGGGACGGGACACGGTCAGGGCGGGGAGCGCGGCCGCGTCCACGGGGTCAGCCGGGGGAAAAAAGACCCCTGAGGTCGCCCAGTCCAACCTGTGACCCATCACTGCCTTGCCCTCCCCAGCCCAGAGCACTGAGTGCCACGACCAGTCATTCCCTGAACGCCTCCAGGGATGGCGACTCCGCCACCTCCCTGGGCAGCCCCTTCCAATGAAGAAATTCATTGCTGCTGTTCAACCCAGGCCTTCCCTGGCACAGCTTGAAGCCACGTCACAGATCACAGAATATTCTGAGCTGGAAGGGACCCACGAGGACCATCAAGTCCAACTCTTCAGTGAATGGCCCGTGCAGGGACTGAAGCCACAATCTTCCTGTTACCAGCACCCTGCTCTGACCAACCGAGCTAATCCCACCTCATGTCCAGACGTCCTCTCATCCCAGAGCTGCAATGGCTGGGCCTCCCTCCTCACCCCACCTCTGACACGGGGACCACCCCAGCCAGACCCGGATTAGGCCCCCCATAAACCTGATCCCCCCCAGGCTGCTGTTTCCCATGGATGGGGATGAGCTGGAGCCGTGCTGGGGACAGCAGTGACCCCAAGCAGGTACCCACCCAGGGGGTCCATGCCGGTGGGCTTGCCGGGCATGGGCCGCAGCCCCGGGGTGCTGCTGGTGCCCGGGGTGGGCGCGTCGTTCCGCGGCGTCGGAGTGTTCGACTTGAGCCCGGGCGTCGACGACTTGTCGTTCTGGGGGAGAAGGGATGGGAAACAAGGGATGAGGTCCGAGCGCCGGCACCCCCAGCCCCCAGCGAGCCCCGGCAGGGCACGGGACGTACGTGGCCCAGGTCTTTAGTCTTGGAGGAGGGAGTGCTGCTGGAGGAGGCGACCGAGGCCGGGCTGTTGGGAGCGTCCCCCTTCTTCAGCCCGCGGGCTTTGTCCAGGCCGTTCTCCGGGGGCGAGTGGGCCGGGCTGACCCGGGGGGTGGCGGGATCCTGTGGGGCAGGAGAAAGCCTTGGAATCCCCTGTGGCTCCCTCCGGCTCCTCCATTCCAGGAGGCCCCTAAGGCATCACCCCCAAACCCCCCCAGTGGCACGGGCAGAGGGGCAGATTTGCCCACAAGGACTCACCTCGTTGGAGACGTCGACCACCAGGTCATCGCTCTTGTCACCATCGCTGTCCTGGAACACAAAGCCAGTCACACCCCGCAGAGAGCCCCAAAAACTAGGGTGGGGGCACCCCTCTGAGGAGCTGAACCATCCCTCCACAGCACCAGGACACTTATGGGGGGTATTAGGGAAAATTTCTTCCCTGAAAGGGTGGTCAGGCATTGGAACAGGCTGCCCAGGGCAGTGGTGGAGTCCCCATCCCTAGAGGGATTTAAAAGCCATGTGGATGTGGCACTTGGGGACACTGTTAGTGGTGGCTCTGGCAGTGCTGGGGGACAGCTGGACTTGATTGTCTCAGAGAGCTTTTCCAACCTAACTGATTCCGTGGTTCTATGACCCACACCATACCTGGAAAACGTCACCCAAACCCACTGCCTCCCACCCCAGGTCCTGCCTGGTCGTGTCCCTGGGGCTCCCCGTGTCCCCTGTCACTCACATATCGGCTCATGCTGTCCTTCTCCTCCGCTTTCCGCTTCTTGGAGTCGATGCTGTAATCCGTGGAGCTCCGGTGCTTCTCGCTGGCTCTCAGGCTCTCCGAGGGCGACACGGAATTATTCTGCAATGCCACAAGAAGCTTTGAAGTTGGAAACAGAGGGAATTAGGACTTCATGAGCAGCAGCTTAGAAGGTGCCACATACAGCCCTGCACCAGCAGCACGGTGAGACCCCGTGGCTCCCAAGGGAGCAGGGAACAGGATGCAGGTGACAGGATCGGACACCACCCTCACTGTGAGCCCTGGGAATGCTGTGAGGCTGCTCATGGACACCTGAACCCCTTCACTGCAAAAGCACAGCAGGAAAAATGGAAGAGGTGGTTGCTGCTAAAAAGGCAAACCCTGGGAGGGAAATGTGGGAAACTCCAGCAGCTCCCAGTCCTCACTGGGATCCACCAGTGGGAACTGGGGAGTGCAGAGTGGGGAAAAGCTGTGCTCCCTAAAATCAGCCCCATCTCCCTCATCCTGTGCTCCCCATGGGAGAACAGGAGCTTTGCCCCAGCCCGGGGCAGGGGAAGGACTTTGCACAAGGGGTGGCACCATGGATGGGCATCAGCAGAGCTGGGGGGCCTCATCCAGGAGGAGCAAAGGAACCGCTGCATCCCATTCCCAACATCAGCAGTTGAGCTCTGCCAAGCCAAGGGGCATCCAAAAAACATCCAGGAAAACCCACGTGACCAGGAGCACCACAGCCCAGGGTCCACAGGGACTCCCTGCTCAGGGGGACTTCTGTCCTTGCTTCGAGCAGCGAAGCCCAGGAGATCCAGCATTCCCAGGAAAGCCTCAGAGCCCGTGGGTGCTTCCTCTGGCACTGGCAGAGCTGGGAGGCCTCATCCAGAAGGAACAAAGGAACTGCTGCATCCTGGCTCTGGTACCAGCAGCTGAGCCAAAGGACATCCACAAAATATCCCAGAAAACCCACGTGACCAGGAGCAGCAGAGCCCAGAGCCTGTGGGGGCTTCTGTCCCTGCTTCAAGCAGCAAAACCCGGGAGACGCCGACATTCCCAGGAAAGCCCTTTGAATGCCGGGAGAAAAATGGCAGCACAAAACCACCTCACGAGCGCCAGAGGATGCCCGGCCCTGATCCCACATCCCCCCACGGCGCAGCCCCTTCCCCACATCCCAGCTTCCTTTGCCCTCAGTTCCTGGGAGCAGCAGGAGAAACCCCCCACCCTCCCCGAGCCTGCCAGCCCCGCTAAGCAGCAACGCTCCCTAAGCTGCTGTGCCTGCCTTTCTTCCCCGGCTGAAAGGGAGAACTAAAGCAGTTCATGTTTCTCCTCGGTCCCCAGTAAGCAGCTTTGGATAACACCGAGCTCTTTCTTCCCAGGCAGTCATGCTGAAAACCCTCGCAGCTCCCGGAGAATCATGTCAAGCATTTAGAGGCATCGATCCATTCAGCGCCGCCGCTGGCCCGGCGCCAAGGAACTAAATATTTTTTATTGCACAGGCAAAGGCTGGGGAAAATATGAATGACTAACGCTGATTACGGCGCATTAAACCTCCCCCGGGAACACCCCGGCTCCGGGCTTATGGATCGGGAAGGTTCCCACCTCCGACGGCCCCCTGCCCGCCCGAGGAGCGGGTTAATGATGCCCAATTCCCCTCTCCCCCCTTAAATAGCACTTTCCTTCCCGCCCGCCCCCAGCTCTCAAAAGGCCCATTTGTGGGCTCGGGGATGGCAGGAAATCGCTGCAAAGCCGAGGCTCAGCCGGGCTTTGTCCTGGCAGCTTTTCACACGGAATCGCTGGGGTTGGGAAAGACCTCCGGGATCACCGAGTCCACCCTCTGCCTGGTGCCCACCTTGTCCCCCAGCCCACGGCACTGAGTGCCACGGCCAGGCCTTCCTTGGACACCTCCAGGGGTGGGGACTCCACCACCTCCCATTCCAGTGCTTGACAGCCCTTTCCAAGAATCCCAGAATATGCTCAGTTGGGAGGGACCCACAGGGATCATGGAGTCCCAACTCCTGGCCCTGCACACAGGGTCAAACCATGTGGAGAAATTCCTTCTGATGTCTCATTTCCCTGAGCCAGAGGTGTTGTGTACACCAGGGCTGGGGGGTCCAGTTGGGCCCCGCTGCATGGAGAGGGCAGCTCCCCCTCCATATCCTCACTGCCTCCCCATCCCTGCTCCAGGGAAAGCAGAACCCGCCCTGAGGCGTCAGGGACACGGACAGAGGCACAGGTGCCCTCCAAAATCCAGGGATTCAGGTGGTTTGGGAACTGCTTGACCCTCCAAGTCTGACTTAACATGGTGTAATAACCAAACCACCCCAGCAGGTGAGATGACCCAAGATAATGGGAGAGGGATCAGGAATGAAACAGCTGTCCCAGTCACTCAAAGGATTTTGGAGCCGACTGGGCTCACTCAAAACCCAACCATGAGGCTCTGCCACAGGCAAAGAGATTTAACCCAGACCCCACTCATCCCAGCACAGCTCTTCCAGGCAGGGTGGGAGCTTTGCACTGCCTGGTTTTTATTATTTAATAAGACCTGTGCAAAAGGCAGCCCCGGAGCTCCCACCTACAAAATGGGGTTTGAAGGGATAAAGAAAACAAAACCATGGAGCCACCAAAAACTGGGGGAAAAGGAGGCAATGGGACTTACTGCACTTGAGTCTCGCTCTGTCAGGAGATGTCGGAGCAGAGGTGAGGTCACAGCCAAAATAAAGAAGAGACAGAGAAATAAAGCAAGTTAGAATTAAGTCTCAAACCAGAAAATAAACCAAGAAGCTCCTCATGTTCTTAACTCAAGCCCTATCTGGGCTCTCACTGGCTTTAAAATCCCCCTGTTCATCCAGCCCCTGCTGCCTCCTGCCCCTTTCCTTTTGTCCATTTGGCAAAACACAGCTGGAAATGCCCCGAATCCAAAGGGAATGGCAGCAGCCTCTGGTGCTTGTCCCCGAAGTCACAACCTCCGACAGTCCCGTCGGCAGCACAACGTGGTTTAGCCATTAATCTGTGCCCAACAGCCCCATTTTCCCTGGGATCTCCTGGCAATCTGAGTCCATGCAGGAAAAGGAACATAACTGGATAAATTGCTTTGGATAATTTTGTCTCACTGTTTTCTCAGGGAGGAAAAACATCCCCAAGCCCGCAGCAGAGCCTGACAGCTCAGAGGGGCTGTTGGTACCTGCCCTGCAAACGGGAATGAGGGGGAATATCCCAAATCCTTCCATGTATGGGATAAGGGGATTTGCCAGGAAAATATTGAATACTGCTCATTTGCACCTGGAATCATACATCATTTTATCTTCTAAAAAGCTGTCTGACCACTAATAATTAGAAAAAAACCCTGAGTTTGGGGGTGAACAGAGGAGGAGGAGGAGGAGGAGAAGGAAGCTGCTTCCCCATTGAGGCACCGCTGAACTGCAGCGAGACTTCAACAAAGTCTGAGCATCATTTAGGGAAAACTGCATCCCTAAAAGCACAATCCCATGGCCTGAAGCCCACAGTCCAGAGGGGTGGGGAGGTAGAAGCAGAGCTGTGTGTGGGTCAGGGTGCTGCCCCCAATATCAGAAGGATGTGGAGCTGCTGGAGAGAGTCCAGAGGAGGCCACAGACATGTTCCAAGGGCTGGAGCCAGGCTGGGAGAGCTGGAGGGGCTCACCTGGAGAAGAGAAGGCTCCAGGGAGAGCTGAGAGCTCCTTGCAGGGCCTAAAGGGGCTCCAGGAGAGCTAGAGAGGGACTGGGGACAAGGGATGGAGGGACAGGACAAGGGGAATGGCTTCCCACTGACACAGGACAGGGTTAGACAGATATTGGGAAGGAATTCCTCACTGGGAAGGTAGTGAGGCCCTGGCACAGGTCGCCCAGAGAAGCTGTGGCTGCCCCATCCCTGGAAGTGTCCAAGGCCAGGCTGGACGTGGCTTGGAGCAACCTGGGCTGGTGGAAGGTGTCCCTGCCCGTGGCAGGAGGTGAGACTGGATTTTAAGCTCCCTTCCCACCCACGCCATTCCAGGATGATTCCATGAGTTCCGGCACCATGGATGCAGAGAGGAGTAGCCCCCTGGCCCCTCGCTCTCACCTCTGTGGTCCAGGTCATGGTGGTTCTTCTCATCCTTGACAGCAAGGTGGGCCTGGCTGCCCAGGGCTCCGAGGGCCAGCAGCCCCGAGCTGGTGCCGGTGACCGGCGGAATTCCCGGCGGTTGGAGCCCCGAGGGATGTGGCGGCAGCTGGACCGGGGGCCCGTGGGCGGCGTGGGAGAGGTGCTGGGCCTGGAGCTGCTGCTGCTGCAATGAAAGCACCAGTGAGCCGGGGAGGGGCACTGGGGGGCACTGGGGGCACCGAGCAGTGCCGGGAAGGGACATTCCCGGTGTCCCGGGGTGATGTCCTGGGAGCTGCCCCACTGGGACACCTGGAAGGAGAAGCCCCGTTAGCAGGAGGGACAGAGGGTGCCCAGGCACAATGCCCATGTCAGGAGTGCACGCGTGGCACACCCGCCCCGGGATCGTCCCTCAGTCACAGGAACACGGCACTGCTGCAGACCTGGTTAGTTTGGGGTTTTCAGCAGGTAAAAGCAAAAAAAGAAATACAGGAATCCCACCCAGAGTAGCCCTGGCCAGAGTGCAGAGGCCAAACCAGCCAGATAGAGAAAATTCCAGCAGCCAGGATCCTCCCAGACACCTCAGGAAAGCAAGTTTTGCTAATTTACTCAGGACCAGCTTTAAGGTGTTTGAAGGGGAGAAGAAAATGCCCACATAGTGGCCCAGTCCCATCCCACCATCCCGTGCTCCTGACCCCTTCCGACATCACTGGCTGTTCCCTGTACTGGATAAATCATGGAGGGACCCCCCCAACTCCACCACAGGGCTGGGCATCACCCCCACATTCCCTGGCACACACACAGGGAGCTGCAGCCCAGCTGGGACAGCTCCCAGCTGCTCCCAGGGGTTTTTTGGGAGCCCTGAGTCCCAGCCATCCCAGCACACACTCATCCAGCCATGGGGATTGATTCCCTGCTCCATTACAGCTGCAAAAAGCTCAACTACAGCTCTGGGGAGAGGAAAGGAAAACCAAACACATCCCCAGCGATTCTATTTCAAACACAAACTTGGAAGAAAACCTGCTGAAATCCGTGGAGCTGCTTCCAGGAGTCCCCAGGCCCCCCCTCCCGCAGCTCCTTCGCTCCCAGGACACCCCTGGTCCAGCCAGGAGGGTCTTGGAGCTGGCACTCCTGTCTGGGACCCTCCTGCCTGCACCCACAGCCCTCTCGAGCAGCACCCCATAGCTCCCAGTGAAGTCACAGTTGGGCAGCAGCAGGAATCAGGGGCTGGGAGGGGACACCTGAGCTGCAGTGGAGCCTCCCAGACTCCTCCAGATCCCCACGACCACCTCGGCTCAGGATTTGTCCTCAGTGTCACCAAGCACCGACCTGTGTCCTGCCCAGGGCACCCAAAGGGCACGGGCAAACAGCAGGACCTGCTGCCACCCGGCCCAGCTCCAGGGACACCAGCAGGAATACACCAAAAACATCCCCAGGTACGGAGCACTCCATGATTCCAGCAGTTCCATCACGGACATTTCCAGCAGAACTGGAAGAAGACACCCCCAGGTGTCCCACATCCCTGCAAGTGTCCAAGGCCAGGCTGGACATGGCCTGGTCTATGGAAGGTGTCCCTGCCCAGGGCAGAGGGTGGAACTGGATAAGCTTTAACGTCTCTTCCAAGCCAAACCATCCCAGGATTCTGTGGTAAGTTTTCCCACACCAAAGCCAAGTTTTCATGGGACACAGCTCCCACCCACTGCCCCCTTCTGGGGCAGCAGAAGGTGGGCCTGGCTGTCACACTGCAGGCACAGCAGGGTGGAGCAGCCCCTCGCTGGGGGCAGGGGAGGTGAGAGCCTTCCCAGGGCTGTGATGGAGAGGGAAATCCTCGGCCAGGATGAGATCCAGGGTGGGAGCCGAAGGCAGGAGCTGCATTATCTCCAAACAGCTTCTTCCAGGCAGCACCAAGGTCCCAGCTGGGGCAGAAGCCAAATGGAAAAGGCAATTAGGCCTCTGGTATAGGAAAAGCATAAATCACTGTGCCCTCAAAAAGCAGGAGCTGGAAGCTTCTCCCAGGCTGCTCCATCCGCAGGGCAAGGACAGGAAACATCCTCAGGATCACCATTCCAGGAGTGTCCTCCTACAAGGAGAGCTGGTGGGGTGAGGGAGCACCACGAGGGGTGATTCCCTCAGTAACTCCATCTCCTGCCACACGCACGTGCCAAGACCATCCCTCCAACACCAAAGCAAGTGGAACAGATCCTCAGATCTTCCTGAAATCAATGAGGCTCCTCACAATCCCAATTCCATGTGATTTCCACCCACTGAAGCCAGAGGCAGGGCTGGCCATTGTTTGAGAATATCACCCAGAGAATGGTCCCAGATGGTTTTCCAGCACAGCACATTCCTCTCCTGCAGGCTCTCCAGTGGTGCCCATCCCTGCAGGGCCGGAACACACCGAGATCCAACGTTTTATCCTCAGCAATCTCCAACCTCCACCTTAAACATCTGCATGGCTTAACTCATCCCAGCAGCTTTTCACCCAGGAGCCCCAAAAAAGGGATGTGGTCTCGTGGAAATCCCGGATCCAGGCAGCAACACTCCATTCCCGGGGTGACGATGGGGATCACGGCCCCAGCACAGCCCCAGGGGACAACACAGCTCCACCACAGTGACACAGCAGCACCCCGAGCAGGAGACTCAGCACCCAGAGCCTCACCCTCCAGCACAGCAGGAAACTGGTTTTTCTTCCTTTTCTTTAGGCTGTCAACAAATAAATCCATCCAAGGGCTCCGTGAGCTGCGGGAACAGCCCCTCACAGCAGCCCCACTCCGGGGGGGCGTGGAAACCAAGGTCAGGACACAACATCCCACTGTGGCCCAAAATAACACTGAAAGGTGTTTTCCTCCCTCTGGCAGCAGGAACCGGTGAGCAGAATCCATGTGGGAAGTCCATGTGGGACAAGGGAAGCCTTGTCCCTCCATCCAGCACTGCAGCTCCATGGAGTCGCCAAGATCCCACCTCGGGGCCGCACAGCTCCATCCCGGCACCGCTGAAGGAGCCGTGTCCCAGCTGGATCACTCCCAGGGCAAGGAGAAGAGGATGAGCCAACGAGCCCAGTGCACATCCCCGGGTGGTGCTGGAGGATCCCCAGGCTCCGCTCCCAGCTCCCTCCGCCGTCCTTCCCATCCGCGCCACTCCACTGATGCACATCCCTCGGGAATAACATCCTGGAGACTCCATGGAGTGGCACAAAGCCCGCCTGGGACTCCATGGCTGCGTTTCTTCTTCAGCCCACGGAGCAGTCGATGCACATTCCTCAGGAATAACATCCTGGAGGCCCCGAGGGACTCCACGGCACAGGGGTGGTGCTCGCTCGGGGTCCTCTGCTGGAAAGCCCAACTTCCCTCCCCGGCCCTTATTCCAACCCTGGAAAAGGTTGTTTTTAAAAACACACCATGTGAGGGCTTGCTGCAAATATCCCAGGAATGGGCTGGATGCAGGAGATCTTTGGGCTCCCAAAAACTCCCCAGCACCCACGGCTGGGTGCTGATGGCAGGGACAGGACAGGGATCAAGGTCCTGGTACACGAGTGACACAGCACAAGGACCCGGAGCAGCCTTTCAGAACCAGGGACCCTCCCAACACCTCCCCAGCTGAACCACAAGCTCAGACCTGCTCAGGACACTCCCCTGGGGCTCCTCATCTGCTGGCAGGACCCCAGAACGGATCCATGTCCCCACATGTCCCAGGACAGCAGCTGGCAGTGGATAAAGACCCTGCAAACCCAACCCGGGGTGGCAGCGGGAGCCAACAGGGACGCACAGACACCGAGAGGTCTCCTTCCTCCTGGGGTCCCTCAGCACGTGCCAGCCAAAGATGGGGAAGATATGAAGAGGTTATAAATTTAGGAGAAAGCTGGCAAGGAATATCTGGTCCGTGGAGTGGCTTTAATTGGATTATGTACATCATGCTTCATGCCTTTGTTCACCGATTTAATGGTTCACCACTTAAGTTCACCACTTGCGTTAAATTTAGTAAAGTAGTCTAATCATTTCCAGAGCTATAACCAAATCAAGGGCTCAATTTCACACAAGCCTGAAGCAGAGGAACTGTGAGACAATGGCCTAGATGCATAAAATTAACAGTTCTTGACCTCAAAAGGGGCAAAAAAAAAAGGTTTTCCTGATTTGGTGGGGTTTTGCGTGAGGCAGCACCTGCACCGAGGGCCGGGGCAGTCTGGGAGGGCTCCCCGTGGTGGGAGGGTTGGGACAGCAGGGCCACCCATCCCCAGGGACACGGGATCCCCAGGGACACAGGGGTGGGGCTGTGCACACCCCAGTGCTGCCCTCACCCACCCGAGGAGAGCAAACAAACACAAGGGACGTGTCCACATGAGCAACCCTACAATAACAAACCCCTGTGTGCAACGAGGGGAGGAAAAAGAACCCCAAATCCTCTAGGTTTGGTGCCTTGGGGGCACCTGAGCAGGTGCAGCGGCACAGACAGAGCTCCACATATCCAGGGTGAGCTTGGAACCTCCTCTATAAGGCATGGAAGGACATGGAATCACTCGTCACCTTCCTGTCAGCAGCAGCCCTACAATAACAAACCACTCCATGCACAGAGGGGAGAGAAAAGAACCCCAAATCCTCTGGGTTTGGTGTCTCAGGGGCACCAGAGCAGGTGCAGCAGCACAGACCCGCCACCCAAACCACCTCCAAAGCTCTGGGATGAGCCTGGAACCTCCTCTACAAGACATGGAATCACTCACCACCCTCCTGCCAGCAGCAACCCTCCAATAACAAACTGGCATGTGCAGTTTTTTCAGGGGAAAAACCCAAAAACTGTTGGGGTTTTGTGCCTTGAGGGGCACCTGAGCACAGACCCAGCACCCAAACCAGCTCCACAGCTCCAGGACGAGCCCTGGCCTCCCCTACAAGCCATGGAAGGACGTGGAATTGCCCACCAGCCTCCTGCCAGCACCGTGTCCCTCCCCAACAAGCCACGGCGGGAGGAGACGCCCATAATTCCTGCTGAAAGTTCGTCAGGAAAGCGATTAAACGGCTGGGCTGGCTGCTTAATGACAGGAGGCACTCGCTCTGATCCAAGGAAGCAATTACCTCGGAAATGGGGGTCACGGGCCCTGCTCATTCACCTTAATTGAATTCCAATATCTGCCTCCAGCTGCTGGGGGCTCCTGCCTGCGGCTCCAAGCAGCTCATCAAAGCCATGGGCTCCCTCCTCCCTGTCTCTGCTCACCTCCCAGCGCTCCACAGTGCTGCCTGCCACCCCAAAACTCAGCTCCCGTCCCTGGGTCACTTCCCAAGAGCCACCAACCCCACCACCAGGGATCTATCTGCTACTGAACCTTTCCTCATTTCCAGAGAGACTGCAGCAGCTCAGAGCCCAATTCTACCTTTGGTGCTGCCCAGAAAATACAGAAAAATGTAGAGAAGAGCAGGTTAAGTGCAAAGAATTATAAAGATCCTTATAGCTTAAGAAGTGCAAATAGTTATTAAAAAAAAAAAAGAGCATTAAAAATGAGCATTTTCTGGAAAACAAAGACCTAAAGCCAGAGGAGCTCTGGAGCCACCTGCCCGGGATGCTGGATGGGGACACCGATGTCCCGGGGTGAGGAGCAGGTTTGCTGCAGGACTGAGACCGTGACATCAATCAAAGAAACAATAAAAATGGTTAATCCTTAAATTAACCCTCCCCGAGGTCTGTGAGAGAGAGCCCGGCCAGCGGGAGCGGGTCATCAATGCATGGGACAACAACCCTGCCAAGGGCACAGCACATTCCACACCAACAGCCCAGCAGAGACAAGCCTGGGCTCAGGGGGTCTGCGAGGGCTGCTGGGTCCTGCTCTGCACCCCAAACACTGCCCAGGCCATGGGGAACATCCAATTTGGTCGCTGGAGGCTCCTGGAGCTGCACCAGCACCCGGGAGGTGGCAGGAGGTGGAGATTCCACCCCTTGTCTCACTCAATGCCAGACTGGGGGAGTTTTGGTCATTTGGGAGGGCCATGGGATGGCGGGGGGGGGTGTGAGCTGCCCTGCTTTATCCCTCCTGAGCGCAGGATTGCCTCTGGTTATGGTAAATGATAGGAATAAAAGGGGTATACACACGGTGAGAGGCAGATTGGGAAGTCCACGTACCCCGATGATAGCATTCAACTCCGTCATTGTCACTTGCTTGGCACGTTCAACAGCCTGTGCCACTTGCTGTTGGTGCTGCAGGGACAGAGGGGCACGGCCAGGTCAGAGCTGGGCATAGGGGGACCAGCCCAGGGGCAGGACCCCCCCTCCAGAGATGCTCACCCCTCTGCTGGGCTCTATTTTGCTCATGCCCGGGAGCACCTCCCAGCTCCACGGGGTGCAGGGGGGTGGAGAAGCCCCTCAGAGCCTTTTTGGAGACCCCCAAGCCCCTTCACAGGGCCCAGCTCTCCCCCATCCCAAGGGTTTTCCAATGCACATGGAGGATCTGAACCCCGTTTCTCGCTCAGCCCCCCACCCCCAGGGACCCACGAGGGACCCCAGCACTGCCCGCCTGGGGAAACCCCCCTGGGAGAAGCAGCAACTCCCCACCCAGGGTGTGAAAACTTCCTTACCTCTTGTGACAGAAAAGGCATGATCTGGGCTAAAATTGTATTCAGTCTTTTAGCAATTTCTGTCTGAAAAAAAGGAAGAAGAAAACCCAACAGTCAGCACCAAACAGCCTCCCACAGACAGCTCGAGGCTTCCTGGAGCAGTGCTGTGCATCCCCTCCCTGTCCCCCTCCACGTCCCCTCCCACCCCTCCAAGTGGAAGCAGCAGCTCCCAACAGAGGCAATAAAAGCACCTTCAAGCACAGCAGCACAGGGACACATCCCTGCTGCCCTGGGACACTTGAGGCCCCTTCCCATCATGGGATGAGTGTCACGGACCAGCCCCAGCAGTGCTGCACCACCCTGCACTTCCCTGGCTTCATGAAAACATAGCACTGGCACAGCTCCTCATCCTTGGAGCAGCTGCTGGGGGTTGGATCCCAGAAAATCCAGGTTTTGGTGGCTCTTGCCATCACCTCCCATTCCTGGCACTGTGGTGGGTGTTGAGTTTCTCCAGGAGAAACCCTGGCAGAGACACCAGCGAGGGCTGGGGGTCCCTGCTCTGCTCTCTGTCCACCCCACATGAAGCTGGTGGTGTTCCCTTCGCCATCCTCACATCCCACTCGGGAACAACCCAGACCCACCACCAAGGGTTACCCTGGGATCACTCAGCTCCCAAGGGTTATCCTGGGATCACTCAGCTCCCAAGGGTTTCCCTGGGATCACTCAGCTCCCAAGGGTTATCCTGGGATCACTCAGCTCCCAAGGGTTATCCTGGGATCACTCAGCTCCCAAGGGTTACCCTGGGATCACTCAGCTCCCAAGGGTTATCCTGGGATCACTCAGCTCCCAAGGGTTTCCCTGGGATCACTCAGCTCCCAAGGGTTACCCTGGGATCACTCAGCTCCCAAGGGTTAACTCGGCTGCTCCGCCAGGGCAGCTGTGAAAACAGCTCCTGCTCCAAGTCAAACAGGGCCGGAGCAGCCGAGGATCCAGAGCCACAACAATGGCCGGGCCGAGGCTGGCAGGGAATCAAACGCCCAGAAATTCCTTCCGACAGCCCCGAGCAGCTCGTTATCAATAACACAAGTGATTAACCTGGGCTCGCTCCAGCCTCCCTCTTGGCAAGGGGCCTCTTCCCGAGGCAGCCAGCAGTCACTCCCCCTCAGAGAGCCCCCTCTGTGCCCCCCAAATCCATCCCTGCCATCCCAAAGCTTCACCTTCCTGATCCCACAGCTCAGCCCTGAGGATGGGTCCTATAGCAGCTTGGCTTTCGAAGCCCATCCAGCCCAGCTCTCAAGTACTGCAAGGAAAATCCCCAAATATCACAGTTTGGGAGAAAATGCCCAACAGACACTCAGCCCTTGCTGGGAGGAGCTGGGTGATGGCCAGGTCACACTGCTGTGACTACAAGACCAACCCAACGAGCACAACCGACATTCCCAGGATGACCATAAGCAAGGAGACACCAGGAAAACCCTGCTCTCCCCCAGTCTTGAGCCACCCCCATGGAGGGAACAACCCCACAGACCCCAGAACTCGGGGTCCTGTTCCGAGGGGTCCCCACACACCCCCCACTGCTGGCTTTTGGTTGCTGAGCCACAGGGATATTTCTGGCCATCCTCTTCTCCGAAAGCACCCCAGTGATTGGGTTACACCTCATGCTTTAATTAGCAATTCCAGAGAGCAGGAGAACGTGCTGGCACACCGTGCCAAGGCAGGAGCACCAGGAGGTGACCAGGGGTTGGACTCAGGTACCCCCAGCTACAGCTACACCAGTCACCAGGATTATCACGGACCCCAACGTGAGGATGCACAGATCAGGAGGCAGCTGGGGCTCATGGAATCCTGGAATGGTTTGGGTGGGAAGGGAGCTTAAACATTATCCAGTCCCACCCCCTGCCATGGGCAGGGACACCTTCCACTGTCCCAGGTTGCTCCAAGCCCCATCCAACCTGGCCTTGGACACTTCCAGGGATGGGGCAGCCACGGCTTCTCTGGGCAACCTGTGCCAGGGCCTCCTCACTCTCACAGGGAAGAATTCCTTCCCAAAAATCCCATCTAACCCTGCCCTCTGGCACCGGGAAGCCATTCCCCTTGTCCTGGCACTGCAGCAACACTTCATGTCGTGACAGCGCGAGATCCCTGCCCCGAGGAACAGGCTCTGGTCAGCACAAGTGTTTAACCACCTCACACTCACACATCACCCCAGGACCACTCTGCACCCCTAAAATGGGGCTGGAAGCTAAAACTGCCCAAATCCAGCCCAGCCACAGCACCGTGTCCGAAGGAGCCAGGCTGGCACCCGTGTGCCACCAGCCAGCCCAGCGCTCCCACCACGCGCTGCCCAGGCAGAGCAAAAGCTCTTTGAAGGCTTTTTGGCACTGAGGCATCGATTAGATTATATATAGACTGCAGCTCCATTAAATATTTATTCCTTCAGCTGAAGCCCATTGGATTCTGGATGCAACAAGCCCGGCTGCTGCTCCTGTGAGTTCCAGAACAAATTCCATCCTTATTTGAGGTGAAAACAGCGGTGCCAGCACGAGCTTCCCTGGGCTGCGTCGCAGGGGTGGGGTCGGCGTGACAGGAAAAATACAGCACCCAAACAGGCTGATGGCAGGGAGGAGGAAGGGAAGGTGCTGGGTTTTCCCCGGGAATCACACGGTCCAGGCTCACAACAACCCATCTCCTCCACATTTAAATCCAGTTCTGCCCAAACTTCAAACAAAGATTTTCCGCAAAGGGAGAGACTTCCCACATGGGACTCAGTGAGCAGAAAGATATTAGATGTCCAAAATATTATGTTTACAACCGTGAGGTTTCCTGCAAACATGACATTCAATAGTCTTTAAATATTTGCTCACTTTAACTTTTCCCATTCCACAGAATATTAAACTCTGGTTGTCCCCATTAAAAGTTTAATCGGGAGCGAAAGGGGATCCTCCGGCACGTCGGGAACAGGGAAGGGCTTCATGCCCGACACCTTCCCCATAACAGGGCTCATTCATCACCTTCCCAGAGTGACAGAGCCCCCCGAGCCCCCCGAGCTGGTCCTGCCAAGAAAAACCTCCATTCCCCACGGCAGGTTGCCATGGCAATCCCAGGCTCTGCATCCCCTTCCGATGCCCTGCATCTTCCCTGGACCACAGCTGCAAATGAGTGGGGATAAAACACCCTGGGGAGCGCCCAGGAGAGGTACCCACCCACCCAAACCCCCATGGGAGGTGCTCAGCGGGTGCTGGGTGCCTCTCCCGGGGTCCGTGGGAGCACCTTCAGGGACACTCACCCGGGCACAGAGATGCTGGTGGGCGTTAAAAAGGGCAAGAGGTTGGAGAACCTGAAATCCTCAACTAACCCCCCCTCACCCCCTGCCCCTGCCAAGAATCTGACCTCCTGCCTGAGCAGAAACACTTCTGGGCTGGTGTTTCACCAGCACGGAGGGGGAAACCAGAGAAAACATTTGCACTGGTGATAAATCAAGAGAGGGGCCGCTGGGTCCTGTCACCCCACCCGCTCTTAAAATGGCCAGAGCCACCACCGGCACCCAGAGCTCTGGAGGGCACAAGGAGCTGCTCCTGGCAGCCTGTCAGGAGGCAGGATGGGGCTCTGGGAGCAGGAACAGGCTGGCATGGTGTTAAATAGCTCGGGGCTGGCTCTGCCCAGCAGCTCCGGCCCCACGGCCGCTCGTCTTTACACCTGGATGTGGCAGAGGGAAGTTTAAAAATAACCCTGTGGCCCGTCAGTCACAGAGCAGGGCTGAAAGGAGCTGCCTCAGAAATGACTCAGAGCACAGGAGTGCAGAATTCCAGGCTGGAAGCTGGGGTTCCTGCGTGATACCCCACGGATACTGCTCCGGGTGATGGAGCCAAAACACATCAGCCTTGGACACAGCTGAGGAGGAAAACAGGAGCTGCAGGGATGCCCCAGCCCTGGGGATGCACCCCCAGGCTGGTCCCAGCATTCCTCCATGGCACAGGATGGGATCCAAACCCCTCCTGGGCTCCCAGTCCTCGGGAGGATGGAGGTGCCTCATAAAACAGCCCCACAACCACCACTCTGAGGGGAACACCCCCAAAGACCCTGCACAAAGCACCCCAAGACATCCTGCACAAAGCACCCCAAACCTCTGTAGGGAAGGGAATCACAGCAGTGCACACCAGGCCATGGCAGACAGAGCCTCAGAACAGATTTTGGGCCACAGCAGCCCCAGTTCCACCTGCCCTTGCTTATGGATTTATATGTCAGGATGAAGAATGAAGAGAAGGGATGAACACACAGCACTGCCCTTCCTCCTCTTGGAAAACACCCCAAAACATACATATCTATATCACAGACTATCCTGAGCTGGAAGGGACCCATAAGAATATCCAGTCCAGCTCCTGGCCCTACACAGACACCCCAACAATCCCACCCTGTCCCTCAGAGCGTTGTCCAAACGCTCCTGGAGCTCTGGCAGCCTTGGGGCTGTGCCCACTGCCCTGGGGAAGTGCAAATGTATAAACACACACATGTATAAATATACACACACCCCCCAAATGCCTAAAACCCTGGAGCAGTGGGGTTGGTGGGGCTGCCAAAGGTGATGGTCTGTGGGATGCAGAACACGGCACCAGCACCATCCCACCATCCCACAACACTGCCACCCAGGAGCCCCCAGCTTCTCCTGGGCTCCCAAACCACAGATCCCTCCACACATCCCCCCAGTATTGTTTCCAAGACGGGTTTGGACCCCCCAGCCCTCCTTTAGGCACTCCAGGACACCCCCTCCCGGGCTGTATAGCCCCCCCAAACCCCCTCCCTGGCAGAGGGCGGAGGGAGAAGCGAGGAGTAAATCACACCAGCCGTGAAGCACCAGCAGCATTTGTTGAAACCAGGATATTGTCTCTTTAAGCACATGAAAATAAGGCCCTTGAGCAGTGTGGTTCTCACTCCGGCGCACAATTATGGGTACTTTCAGCTGTCTACCACTATTTCAAGTGCTCTCTCCAACCGGGCTGTCAATGGCATGTTGAAAGCTATTTGTGGCTGCTATCGTTATTAGCAAAGTGGAGAGCCAGGCTGATGAGAATTAAATCAGGAGGGGGGGTGGAGGGGCAGGACACAACCCCTCATTACAGAATTACCACCGGCAACTGGGACGTGGGGGGCAAAGCCCACTCAGACCCCCAAAAGGCACCCAGCACCCCCAAAAATCCACCTGCAGAGCCGAGGGGAGGGAGAGGTGAAGCTCTGACAATATTCCCCTTCTACCTTAGGAGACCTGAGAGCAGAGCTAACAAATTACTCGGCTTCTGAAGTATTTAGCAAATTATTACCTGGCACTCCTTGCTAACGAGCATGACAGAAAGTATATTGTGTTCCTAGAATATTCTAGAGAAAAAAAAAAAAAAACCCTGCCTCTCTTCCCTGGAAGTGTCAGGGGGGTTTAGGTTTGTTCCAAGCATTAAGTGTTTAAGCACGAAAACAAGAAGTGCTTATGTGGAGGGTTCTCAGCCATAAAAAGAAATAAAACCCAGCACAAAGGTTCTGTCCTCCGAGGTGTCCCGTTTCCCCACGCAAAATTAGTTTTTCTTTTGGAATGGTTATTGCAGTCGGCGATTATCCACGGAGATCTGCACAGAAACAATGCAAAGCCAACAGGGGAAGCAAAGTTTCTTTTGGAAAAATCAATTAGCCCTAAGAAGGGGAAAAAAAAAAAAAAAAGTTTTGCCGGGGTTTCAAAAGAAAACTCATGATTGGACTCGGGTTTAAGAAAGCTGAGCCCGGGTAAGGGAGCTTAGTTCAGCAGGAAGACTGATGTAAGGAGCGATTCACTGCAACCAAGTCACTTCCTAAATATTTCCTTGCATATGGAGTTGTTTATGAAAGTACATTTTTTTACTTAACAAGAAACAAAACGAGAAGAAAGGGGGGAAGGAAAAAAAACAAAACAAAACAACACAACAACCCCACACGCAGCCACATATGCACACACTTAATATTCAGCGTAGAAGAGATAATCTGTTATATAAGCCCACAGACAGACAATCCCCTTTTGCTTAAAGATGAAGTATCCATCAATGTTTGTCTGGAGCAGATGTAATCACAAGCAGTCAAGTCTGGAGGGCAGGACACTGCATGAATAATTCAAGCACTTCAGTCTACTTGATTGTGTGCAGATAAACACAAGTCAACCGCTAAACAGGTCAGCTGATAAACTTGTTTGTTCAGGACCAGCCACCCTCAACCAGATGCAGGCAGGACCACGCCGCAATTAGCGGGATGCCTTGCGGGGGGATGCTGCGGCAGGGATGCCTTTCAGGGGGATGCTGCGGCCCGAAAGAGGGGGAAAACCCTCGGCAGGCCCCCGCTGCGGTCCGGCTCTCCCATCCCGCCGCTCCCTCTCGCCCCATTTTCGCCTGGAAGCGCCGCTGGGAGCAGCTCGCGGGGCTTTGTTTTCCTCCGGCCCCGCGCGCTTTGCTGTCAATTAAATAACGAGGCGGCTTCGCCTCCCAAACTTCGCCGAGCCCGGCACGCAGCACATGTCACCGGGAGCGGGCAGGGATGCTCGGCACAGCCTGGAACCATCCGGACGGGATTTATCCGCTCCCCTGCAAAGCTCCCAGCGAAGCACATTGACCACGCCGGGCCTCCCGGGCCGCCACCACCACCCAGCAACTCCCAGGGCACAAAACCATCCCTGGGAATTCCGGGGCTCCTCAGTCACCCCCCAAAACCACCACGGACACATCAAGGGAAGACGCCCCACGTGGTCACGGTCGGAGCGGAGGATGGGGTGATCCATCTGCACCTCCCAAGGGTGCCAGACCTCACTGATCCCTTGGGTTCCATCCACGGACCGGTGGGAAAACACACTGCACATCTCAGGAACGGCAACTCCTTCCAAAGCCTCCATGGAGAGAACAAGCCCAACATCTCCGTGCATTATTCCAGCATCTCCCAGCATCTCCCAGAGCGGAGCCGTTCAACACCGAGCAACCAGGTGGGAAGAGGCACTTCCTCTCCCCAAAGAACCCATGTTCACGTTACTCCAGTGCCTCCAGGGTCACTCCATCCCTCGGGCATCACTCCAGTCCCTCGGGGCGTCGCTGAAGCGGCTGCAGGGTCCGTGTCCCTCTGGACAACCGTCCCCTCCTCGCGGGATTCCACCACGGGCCTACACAAACCCCCTGCGTTCTGGGGGATTCCCGACCTCCCCAGGCCAAACAGTGCCCGAGGCCTCCCCCAGCACGGGGGTCCCGGCCCCTCGCAGCCCCCCAGGGCTCCCCCTGGGCCGCCCTGCCCCGCCTGGGTCCAGGCAGAGCCACAGAGAGCGGGCGAGGAGTCGGGATTATCTGCACGGGAGAGGATATTTTTAAAAAAACTGAAGACTAAGCAGGAATTATTTTCGTTGCCCTGTGACTGCGCCGCAGAAAGGCAAAGGGAAGAAAAGAGAGGCAGATTCAGAGACGCTGCTTTGCATTTCATCAGCTCCCAGCGACGCTTCCTAGAGGAGGGCGATGCTGCTATTAAGCAAAACCACTTTGGAGTTGAATGGGGCTGATTTGCGAGCGGCAAAGTTGATGTCAACTCCTATCTGCCTTAAGTTCTTAATTAGAACTCCTTCTAAAACCAGTAAGCAGCAGCAGCACAAATAATCAGGTCTAATCTCAATAATAACTTTATTCCTTTAAGTTTTACCATCATGTGCGCAGCCTTTAGGCTCTTTAACGATAATCTTATCAAGGTACCACACCACATTCTGCTGGGGCCTTCTCTATTTTTTCCTTCAGGCAAGTTACATATTAGAGGAGACTGGAAGGGAGGGAAAAAAAAAAAAAAACAACCAACCAACCCCAAACATTGCTTCATTTCCCAGATGCAAAGACAAATCCGTGACATTGAGCAACACACCGTAAGCTATCGGAGCCCTGGAGATAATTCCCTCCTCAGTCTCACGCTACAGCACGGAGGAGATCAGGGTATGACCTTAGAAACAGTCCTGTTGTACCAACAACACAACCAGAGGCAATCGCAGCACACATCAGTGTTTTCCCAGTTTTGGGAACGCGCTATTCCAGGTACCGACATCCCAGCACGGAAGGCAAGGCTGTTCTCACCCCTCCGCATAAACACTCCGCTTAAAACCCGAATTTCTCAGCAGCACAGACAAAACACCAACCTGCCAACAACCTGCAGTTCCCAATTCAACTGCCAGGCCACGGGATTCCCACCTGGAGTCACATCCCTGCCTTCAGCACTTATTCCCTATTTAGTGCAATCAGGGCCCATTTTACCTCGGGTTGAGGAAAAGGGCAACAGGAGATCAATCAATCCCAACTTCCCCCCCTGGAAATTACTCACCTGTTTGTGCATTTCAATGTTCAAACCGTAGGACATTTCGTAGTACTGGGGAATAAAAACATACAAATAAATTCAATTAAAGAAAACAGCCAAGAAGAATTTGAATTAACTTCACAGAAGGTATTTGCATAAGGTCATTACCAAAAAGCATCCTGGTCAAAACTGGGCTTAAAGCACTGGTAGCCAAGGAAATTACACCTTATAATAAGCAGATGTTTATGGGTTTAACTGGCAGGCACTTAACAAGGGGACACTCCTTTTGACTCCTGTTTTCTCCTCCTAAGCTACTTAGAAAAACAAAGAGGCGCAGAGCTGGGTGACAGGCGTCTGCTCAGCCCTGGCAGAACAGGTACAGCCCGGAGTCTGGCCAAAATTCCAGCTTCTCACTGGGGGGGTGGATTTATTCCCCCCCCAGGGGCCAATGGAGCTGCTGGGAGCCCCGGGAGCCGCTGGGAAAGGGGGTGCTTGATCCTGCTGAACCCAGGAGAAACCCAACCGAGCCCACCTGGGGGCCCCGCGACGCAAATTTGGCTAAAAAAGAGGGGTCTGAGGCAACAAAAGAGCCCGTTTCCCTCGGGAAGGATGAGCGGGGTGAGCTGGGATGGCTCCCGGGTGGCCTCACCCCGCGCCTCGGAGCAGCAAGGGGGGGACCCCCATCACGCCGAGGGACCCCCCCGGAGCCCGGGGGCGCTGCTCCAACCCCCCCTCGGCCCCCCCGGAGCGCTACAAAGGGGTTAACAGGAAACTTGGGATTGCGCTTCCAGCCGTCTGGGGCTCCGTGCGCCTGGCACCGAGCACCCCCCCAGCGCCTCCGGGGGTCCCCGGGCAGGCAGTGCCCGTCCCGGGGGGGGTCCCCCGGTCCCCCCCGTCCGCAGGCTCCCAGCTAATGACATTTACAGGCTGATCCGAAATCTGATTAAAGTCTCTCACCATAACGTAATGGCGCTGCATTTCGGTCTTCTCGTTCGCCAGCTTGTCATACTCCACTTTGAGGCTGGGGGGGGGAGAGCGGAGGGTGAGACCCCGCGGGCGGGGGGGGGCGGGCGGGGCGGGGGGGGCAGCCGGGGGTCCCCCCGGGCTCACCTGTGGTACTGGGCCTGCAGGAACTGGAACTCGTCCTTGATCCGGTCGCAGGACTCGGCCACGGTGAATTTGAAGCCCGGTTGGCCCGGCTGGTGCGGAGCCTGCGGGGGGGGGGACCGGGGGTCGGTTACCGGGGAGTGCGGGGGGGTGTTACCGTGGGGATACGGCGGGAGGGAGCCGGGGGGAGGTACTGGGGTGCGGGAGGGGGGTCGGGATGGGGGTACCGGGACTCACCGGGTGCCGGCCCTGGGGGTACATGGCCGGGCTGGGGCGCGGTCACTGGGACGAGCCGTGCCGTGCCTCGCTACGGCGATCGCGACGTGCGGTGCTGCCGCTGCTGCCCGCCGGGCTCGGAGCGCTCCCGGAGAGGCCGAGAACTGAACAAAGGGACGAGAGGAAAGTCCGTGCGGGGGGCGGAGGAGGGAGGGCGGAGGGGGTGGGGGGGGAGCGGGCTCGGCCGGTTCCCCCCCGCACACACCCCCCCCCCCCCCCGCCCCGCACCGCCGGGGAGGCGCCCGCGGAGCCGAGCCCAGCCCCGCCCCGCCGGGGCCAGGTGCCGACCCCCCCCGGCCGCCGCGCTCCGCGGGCCTCCGCTTCCTCACCCCCCCCTCCTTCCGGCACTCGCTGTCGGAAAAAAAAAAAAAAAAAAGCAAAATCACCCCAAAAAAAAGAAAAAAAAAAATAAATAGACGAAAAAGCCACAGCGACAACAACAACGCGGCGGCGGGAGGATGGTCCCGCGGTATTCCTGCGGCCGGGAGAAGGGGAAGCAAAGCCAGGAACTAACGCCGGAGCACGACGGCCATGGAGGAGAGGAGGAGGGGGAGGAAGGCCGTACACATCCGACTTCCCGGGCGCCGCGGACATGCGAAGTGCGAGCGGATCCCCCCGCCCGGGGGCGGCCGTTCAGCTGCGTCCCGCGGGGCCGGCGGTGGGCGCGGGGGCCATGGCGGGAGCGGGGCCGGAGCGGGGCGGCAGCGCCGAGCACGCGGTGCGGCCACAGCGCCCGGGCGGAGCGGGGCGGCGGGCGGGCGACAAAACCCGGCCGGCCGCTCCGGCCGCGGCCAATGGCGGCGCGCCGCGCCCACGTGGGGGCACGGAGAGCGGGCGCCGATTGGGCGCCGCCGCGCGTGACGTCACAATGCCAGCTTGTGTCCGCGAGAGGGCTGCTCGCGGGCCACGCCTACCGTGCCACGCCCCCTTCCAAGCCACGCCCCCCCGCGGTCCCCCCGGCCCGGCCGAGCCCGCGATGGAGGGGCCGGGCCTCGGCGAGAACGGCCGGGCCCGGGCTGAACGCGGCCGGGCCCCCGCGCCGGGGTCCGCACGACACCCACAGCCGCTGTGTCACCCCCTGCTCTCTCCTCACGGCCCGCCGCGCCCGCAGAGGGCGCGGGACGAGCCCCCCCCGCGCCGACATGGCCGCCCTGGCTCCCCCGGCGGCCGCGCGGCCGCTTTGATGTGTCGTGAGGGCCCCGCTCCGCGCCCCCGCGCGCGCCCGAGGGGCTTTAACGAGCAACACGGGTAATGGCGTTCACGTCAGCGCCTCCCGCCGCGCCGCGGGGACACCCGCCCGCACCCCCGCGGGGGACCCCCGGCCGGGGCGGCGGAGGGAGCGTCCCCCGGCCCGGCCCGCGGCCCGGCGGGGCGGGGGCGGCGGGGCCGGCGCGGCCGCGGCCCCCCGGGCGGGCCCGGCGCACAAAATGGCCGCTCGCCCGCGCGTCAGACGGAGCCTCCGCCCCACGTGGGACCGCGCGGCGGGCCGCGCCCCTCCGCCAATCACGGCGCGGAGGCGGCCGCCGCTCGGGCGCGATTGGCCGCGGGGAGCGGCGCTGTCAATCAAAGCCACGCGGGGCCGCGGCGCGCAGCCCCCGCCCGCCATGGCGGCGTAATTAGCCCGGGCCGGCGCTTCCTCCCGCTCAAACAATCTGTCACCGCCGAGCCGGGCGGGCCGCGCCGAGCGGCCCCGGCACCGCCGCGCCGGATGGGGCTCCTCGGTATCAATAATCACACGCCGCCGTTTAAACAATCAAACGGGGGGGGGGAAACCCCCCGCAGTCCCGCCGCGCCCCCCGCTGCCCGGTGCGGGGGGTGCGGAGCGCCCCGCTGACCCCCGGGGTGCGGGATTGGGGTGTCCCGGCCCCCCCCGCCGCCGCTAATTGGGCGCGTTCCGGCTGTTGACGTGACAGGCGCTGTCAGCGCCCGGCGCTGCTCATTGGCTGCCGCCGCCAGGCCCCGCCCCCGCCCCACGTGGGGCCCGCGCGGCGCGGCGGGCGCGCCGAGAAACCCGGAGCGGAACGCGGAGAGGAGCCGGAGCCACGGCGGGCCCGGAGCCACCGCGCCCTGCCCGCCTCCTCCGCCATCCCCCCCTCCTGATGTCCTAACTTTGCCCCCTTTTGGCCTTTCCTTTGCTTTCACTCTGCCGAGGCAGCAGCTCTCTGCAGAGTCCCTGCGCTGCACGGGGCACGTGGGTGCTCTTGGAGTGCCCACTGGGGTGCAAATCAGGGTGCAGTTGAATGTCCACTGGGATGCCCATAGGGTGCCCAGTGGGGTTCCCATCACGGCAGGGTGCACACTGAGTCACCCACGGGAGCATCATTGGGGTTCCCATCGGGGCACCCACTGGGTGCACCCCGGGGTGCAAAGCCCCCCCTGGATGCAGCCAGGCAGGCAGACCCTGGCCCAGTCTCTGGGAGGACGTGAGTGCACAGCTCTCCAAAGCACACGGAGCAGGGGGGGCTCCTGAGGCCTCGTCTGCTGGAGAGCAGAGAAAATTAATGGCAATGAGCAACCCTGGAAATATTAGTGGTGAAACCAGTCCTTATTTCTCCTGCAAAGTGCTCTCCCTGGCAGTTCCCTCTGCCAAGTGCTTCCAAGGTGACAGCTATTTAGTGGAGGAACGTGCCCAGTGCTGCTGGTGTCACACACTCACATCAGTCCCGGGAGACTGCAGAGCACAGGGAGCAGCACCTGGAAACCCTTGGATCTGTGAGGCCCTTGGGGACAGGACAGGCACTGCCCTTCCTCCCATCCTGCCCAGAGGCCACGGAGCTGCTCCCAGGGCTGGTGCCCCTCTGCTCTGGAGCCAGGCTGGGAGAGCTGGGGGGGTTCAAATGGAGAAGAGAAGGATCCAGGGAGAGCTGAGAGCCCCTGGCAGGGCCTAAAGGGGCTCCAGGAGAGCTGGAGAGGGACTGGGGACAAGGGATGGAGGGACAGGACACAGGGAATGGGTTTCCACTGCCAGAGGGCAGAGTTAGAGGGGATTTTTGGAAGGAATTCCTGGCTGTGAGGGTGCTGAGGCCCTGGCACAGGTTGCCCAGAGAAGCTGTAGCTGCCCCTGGATCCCTGGAAGTGTCCAAGGCCAGGTTGGACAGGGCTTGGAGCAACCTGGGCTAGTGGGAGGTGTCCCTGCCCAGGGCAGGGGGTGGGATGGGATGAGCTTTAAGGTCCCTTCCCACCCAAATCATTCCAGGGTTCTGTGATTCCATGATGATCCTCACTCTGTGCCTCACTGAGCTGGAAAAGCGTGAAAAGTGGGGTGATTCCAGGGGTGGGGCTGAGCCAGACCCTCTGTCCCAGAAGCTTTCCGGGTCCCAACTCCGGGGACGTGAGGCCGTGGGGAGAGCGATGGAAAGCAGCGATTTTGCACTGAAAATTCACTTCACGGCTCAAAATAGAACACATTAGCTGAGCTGCTCCCCTCCCCCAGTGGTACTTATGGACAAATTCTGATTTTTACTTAATGGTTTCCCCGAAAAGGTTGTAATTTTCTTCCCATTCCCATCGAGCTGCAGCTCCTGCGCTGTTGTGGTGAACTCAAACGACCAAGGATGTCTCTCGTTAATTGATATTCCTCACACTGGGACTGAGCTGAAATAGGAGCTGGTTTATTTTAGCTTATTAAAACCCACCTGGTTGGGAAAAAAAAAAAAAAAAGAAGAAAAAAAAAGAAGAAAGAGAACGATTAGGGGTGAAAGGAAACGTTCTGGTTCATATTGATTTAAGATCTGCTTAAATTGATATTTGCACATCCCAATTATAAACCTGTGATCTTTTCCCATAATTTCTTTTTCTGAGTTTTTTTTTTTTCCTAAGGATCTTAGAAAAGGCCTCAGTGTGAGAAGCCACTGTCTCCTCTCCCAGCCAGCCACGGGATGCCTTTGTCACTGTGATTGGGGACATCGTGTTGCTCCTCTAAGGGCCATGAGGGGCAGGAGGGACACAAGGATGGAGGCACCTTGTCTTCTTCCCAGTTCTGCTCAAGCTGGGGCAGCCAACACCACCAGCTGAGGATGAGGATGGGGATGAGGGCTCTGGGGACACTCACTGAAGGCCAATGTCATCATTTGGGTGCCAGGCAAGGGCAGCTTCCCGTGGGGGTGTGGCAGTGGAGCAGCCCGGGGAGAGCAGGAGGCACTGGGGTCCTTCAGGGTGATGGGGTGGTGCCTCCCCTGGTCCAGGGGTGGTTTTGGCCCTGATGTGCCCCGTCCCTGAGCTGTGCCCAGGCGATGCCAACGTGCAGCCCTGGCCCCCCATGAGGTCTCACAGCCGGGAAGGGAAGCAGGAGATGCCCTCCCCCACCCTGTCTGGGGACAAACCTCGGGCTCAGCTTCTGGGCACAGGGTGTTGTGACACTGTCCCGTCCCCAATGCAATGCCACCCTTTCGGGGAAACCATCTGAGCTGCCCTTCCCCTTCCCAAAGGGCCCCTGCGGGGAACACCCACTGTCCCCATCCTCCCACACATGATGACCTGGCACTGCCACCCCCGCTGGCCCCAGTGACCCCCAGGTCCTGGCCCCTTGGGGGGTGGACAGAGCCCCCCTCACCCCTTCCCAGGGGCTGGGCCGTCCTGGGGGCCGTGGTTCAGCTGCAGGGAATAAGGAAGGATCCCTCAGGATGAAGTTTGGAACAGCTGGAAGGGGCTGAACATCTGCACAGCCACAGTCACCCCGAGCCTCCCTGCGGGAAACGGGTCCAAAACACCCACGGCAGGACACCTATTTTCCCCCAAAATTTTTATCTCTCTTTCCCGGGGAAAGTCCGGCTGCAGCTTCCATGTGGATTTGCTGTGAGGCCGCAGAGGAGGGGCCGGGGGAGAGGCGAATCCTGCCCGCACACACGTGTGCACACAGAGCCACACACACACACATGCACCCACGTGTGTCCCCCCCCGGCCCCGGGAGCAGCCGAGCTCGCCCGGCGTGACGGGAGCCGCCCCGAGAGGTGACTTTATCGCTGACAAGCCGGTCCCAACCCCGGTCAATGGTGTGTGTTTACATTGCAGGTGACACTATCTGCCCTCCGCGCAGGGCAGGACCCTGCCTGCCAAATTTCCTTTAGCTTTCAAGTTTATCTAAACAAGGATTTCAGGGCTGGGAAGGCAGCGAAACGCATACGAATGAGCGGCCGCGGCGAGCAGGGAGAGCTCCCAGGCCGGATGTGTGGCTTTGTGGGGAGCTGGGCTTTATCTGCTCTTGGCAGGGAGGTTTTACGGCCCCTCGGCAAGAGAGGCTCCAATCCTGCTCTGGCACCAGCAGCTCCGCGGCGGTGGCCGCGTGCATCCTCAGCCAGCACCGGGATGGGGCTTGGAGCAGCCTGCTCTGGTGGAAGATGTCCCTGTTCACGGCCGGACTGGACCTTTGGGGTCCCTTCCCACCCAAACCATTCCAGGACTCTGTGACGTTTGCAGGCGGGACCGGGAAGAGCGTCGGTTGCTGGTGTTGCCACAACAGGCCCCGATTACCCCGTCCTTTCACAAGCAAAACTCCCATTGACCTCACCCTCGTCGGCGGGTTTGCTTGAGCAATCCCTGTGCCCGGCCCAGCCCAGCGCCCGCGGCTGCTGCAGCAGGACTGGGGGCCCGGGGGGGCAGAAAACCGGCTCAGGACCCCCAGAACCCCTCCCGGCACCCACCGAGGGGCTCAGCATCAAAAGCAACACTTTTCTCCCCTGT